CTTGTATGATATTCTAAGGAGGATACTTGTGTTTCCTTTGTCTCTTCAATAGGCTGAATATTCTGAACTGGTCGAAACATTACTGTCAAGTCAGCAAGACCCAGTTATTTACCAGAGATTAGCAGATGCCTTCAACAAGCTCACTGCAAGCAGCACTCCTCCCACGCTGGACCGGAAGCAGAAGATGGCCTTCTTAAAGAGTTTAGAAGAATTTATGGCAAATGTCGGTGGTCTCCTTTGTGTAAAATAAACAACGTAACTTCATGCTTTAGATCCTTTCTGCAAAGTGCACTGAATTGCTGAAAGTTGACTTGAGTCTTGTCCTATTCCTCAGTTCATTTGGCCATTTTGGATTTTGGAGAGCCTGAAACTTTGATATGTATGTAATACAGTGAAACAGGAGAGGTCAACTTGGCATCAGCTTCTGCTGTTAAGTGTTAGCCACAATCTGTCATACGTATGTCTTTTAGATTTTGAATGATGATTTAAAATTTTCAAAATGAAATTCCATATATGTGCAAACAGATATGGGCACCACGAAATACATATGCAGTGCCTTTTTCCTTTTAACCTAGGTGGCTAGCCAAAGTTTAGAATTTTTGTCCTTAAATATGAAATGGATATATGCTAGGCAGTGTTTCTCAACATCTCCATAGATCGCCTGCATCACTTGAGGAGCTGGTGAAAAGGTAGATTCTTAGGCCCAGCGCCATCTGTAGACCTTCAGAGTCTTAATGTCTGGTTGCTGGGCCCAGGAGTCTTCATGTTAATAAGCTTCTCCTTCCCGTCACCCCAAAAGTTTTGAATCAATGAAAGAGACATTGAAAGCTCTTCAAAGGTTTTACGCTTTCTAGCTTTTCCTCCCTTTGATGATTGGGTTTATAATTCAGCAGGAAGGGGAGACATCACCAGGGGTTTGTTGGCTGTTTCTTAGCTTGCTTTCCTGCTTGCTTGCTTTTCTTGCTTTCTGTCTCTCTCTCTCTCTTTCTTTTCTCTCTGTCTCTCTTACATCAATCCAGCGTTGCAGGTTTTGTGTAATACAAGTCACTAATCATACTCTGATGCCTGAACTTGAGGAGGAAAATACATGTATATTTTTGTTCTATAAAAATAACCTTAGGAACTGTAGCCATTTCATTGCCTTAATTTTAAGAGGAAAGTACAAAAACAGCTGATTTGTTTTAGTAAGAAACCACGTCTTGATGCTTCAGAGTTGGTTTAGGGTGTTAGCTGCTATGAACCTGTTGCCCCTTTCGATCGTGTATTTATGTAGATTTATCAGTGAAATGAAAGGCTTGTTCCCGTCTAGTCTAACTTTTTGAGTGTGTTTCTATCCAGCCACATAGCCCATATCTATTCTAAATGGCTTGCTAAAGCAATAATTATTTTAAAGGATGTGAATTACTGATTCACACAGACTATTGCACGTTGGGGCATTAGGGGCAATAATTCTTCTCCAGTCATGGGAGCCAGTGAATTTAATTTCAGAGATTAAAAATTCACTTTAGATCCTCTAGTTAGATCTTTTAATCAGGATTTTTATACAGCTGCCATGCTCCCCTAATTCAGTGTGCCAGCTTACATTGTGGAAATAAAAGCTAATTTATACACAGCAGGCATATGAAACTCCACTCATTGCAATACTTTCACAACACAGTGACAGGTAGAGGACTCTGGCACAGGTGCACTCATGAAACTCTGCTTCCACCATGTTCCTGACACCTATCTGCTACACCATTCTGCAAATACAGTTTTTCTACCTGATTGCGTATAGCATATATGTCATTACATGTGATACTGTGCAAAACTTTGTATAATTCTGTGTTATTAACAGTTAACAAAACTGGAGCATCTAAATTACATCCAACCTGTGCATGTGATGTTAGGTAGATGTGAATGCAGGGCCTTGGGCCATAACTTACATTTCTCTCAATTTGATCACCATCGAGTCACAATTAAGGGGAAGCAAAAACATCTTGAAAAGACTGCTAGGAAGGAAACTAATACCAGTCATCCTGAAGTACACGTTTCTGTATTTTAAAAAATACTTTGATGCATTTATTTTTTGGTGTTTTTTTTTTCCCTTAAAAAACCTGAAGTGACATGCAGCAGTAATCTGTTTGTTCTGCATTGTTCTTGGTGTTGTGTGTCCCAGCGCCCTCCGGCTTTCTCAGCTGCTGTGAATTATGTGTATCTGTGTGTGCTAAGTACAGTCTGTTTACCAAAGGGCACTGAAACACACAATTGACTGGACAGGTCCACGCGCCATGACAAAACTATAATCAAGTTCTTAAAAATAAAGATGAGTGGGAAAGGAATGCCTTGGTAAGTAAAAAGGCATCTGTATTTAACAACTTTTATCCAGATGGCAACATATTTGCAGAATTTGCCCAGATCCTATTACAGTACTGAAAATAGAAAATCTCACCTCCATATTCCTGAGGTCTAATTTCATTAGACTAGTTTTAGTTTAAAAAGACCTTCCTCAGATTGGACCAAATAATACTTACGAGATCACCAGAATGTTGAATGTTGGCACACTGGGGTGAGGAGAAGCCACTACCATTTTTTAGGTGATGGGGATGCCACTGAGTTGCAACGGCTAGACCTTTTCAGAGTGGTTGTGTGCGTGTTTGCCTGATCGGATGCTTGCTCACTTTGTGTTTTATTTTGTCCAGTTTTGTCTTTAGCGTGTTTACTAACTTCTCCTGTCTTGTTTTGTTTTAATGCTCTTGGCCCAGTGGGTCTCAAGAACACTGGCTTAATTCTAGTCAGTTGATTTTTTTTTTTCTGTTAAAACTGACTGTTGTTAAAACATTTTTTAAAACAAAAACATTATTTGTACCCTCTTTTATATATGTCAAAGGGATACTGTCAAGTATTTCATTTTTAGATTTTTGTTTTATAAAATTTCTGTTGTTCGTATAGTATCCTTTAACCTCTAGTTTTCCATACATCCTTTGTTTCTCATTTTCCTTGACCCATTTATTTCCCAAGGCACAATCACGAAAGACTTTGTACTTTCACAGTCTGTTACTGTAGTAGCACCTGTAACTGTGTTCTTGTTTTGTTAAAAGGATTGATTTGCTTTCATGGTCCTTGTGCTGGATGGGTGGCTGCCTCAGTAGCAAAACTACCTGACAGTATTTGACAGTGTCCTTTCCAACACCGTTATTTGGGTCTTACAGGCTGGCCACCTCTGTTAGAACACAGTCGCATGTTAACATCACTGCATTGAGTTTTTGTCTGGTGTAAAGTGTGACATTTAATGTAAACAAACTGCAGGGTTTTTTCAAACTAATTTTAAGAATTTAGTCTTATTTCATTGTAAACTGTGTATCTAATTATTTACATTACTCTGTTCAGATGAGATGGTTACTACTACTTGTCCACGATTTTCATTTGAAAAGCAAGTATCTATACAATTTCCCCCCAGTCAGCATTATTTAACAGTCCCCTTAACTGTCTTTGAACTTTCTCTTTTACCAAAAATGTCAAGTCTTTATAGTTGTAATATCACCATGTTTCCCATTTCTGTTAATACTTCTATGAACCCCTCAAGTATTGAAGGGAACTAGCTGTCAGTTTCAAGGATTACAAGTTTGAGTCTCCTAATATACAGCATCATTCTGAACCCTGAAATAATACTTTTCTCTGTTACAATTTTTATCTGTGTGCCACCTCTGTTGTTAGAGGTGGTTGTCAGTAGACCTTACTGAGTTAGCTGTCTTTGATGAGGAGTTATTATTGGTTCCTGAATAAAACATTAACCTTTTAAGTCAGAAGGAACCTCAGGACTTCTTAAGGTTTGTTTGTGTTTTTTAAAACCAGAGAATGAGGAACTGATTTGGCTATGAGGTTTAACATTATAATTTTCTGTAAGCTTTCCCACAAAACAACATTGTTGATTTGAGGATATTATAATGTGTTAAACTGTTTTTTAAATGTAAGTGGTTATTCTCCGACTTGGTAACTATGTTCTGAAAACACTGCATTTAATAATTTTTAAAAATTGGTTTTCTAAAATTAAAATGTCCAAATTAGGCATATTGCTGAGCTCACATTGATGTGAAGTGCCATGGTTCCGGCTGAATTTTAAGCATATTTTCATTTAGATATAAAATATGTGAAGTATGCTTGGTTGATTACAGTGGGAACCCATGACATAGTTAACCAAAGAATATGTTTGGTTCAATAAAAATAGAAGTTTCATACTGGGCATTCATTCTGTTTTAAGGGAATGAATGAAGAATCGGTTTCCTGCTGTAGTGCTCTGTGGGGAAGTCTTAGTAAAGACCGGAATGCTGAGGTCGGCTGTGGCAGTTCCCTCCTCAGAGTTGGGTGATGTGGCTTGCCCATTACCCGCGTGAAGCTCACATCGTTACCCTCCTCTCCCGCTGCGGTTGGATCTTTGCCTGTTCCCAGGCCCTCCCAGCAATTGGAGAGGTGTTTTTTTTTTTTTTTTAAATTTTTTTTTTTTATTTTGGTTTTGGTTTTGTTTTCTTCCCCCCAGTCTGCATTCTTAGGCCTCTTAGCTATTAGGAACCGTCAGATACTTACTAGTAGCTAATTTTCCTAGCCTGAAATTACATACTGCATCTGCACTATGTACCTACTGGGGATCTGACCTCAAGTGTTTTCTGAGCCCAGGCTTCCTGGTGTGGTGTCTTTTACCACATAAAATTATTACAGATTGCAAATGTTGGTATTGTGATTTGATTCTCTGTACAAAGAAAGAAGCTCTATGCAGTGAGTTTGTGGTTTAATGGTCACAAAAATGTTAGCACTGCTACCACTCAGCACGTGTAAAATTTTTTAAATTTATAAATATTAAAATTTTAAACTTACACTAAGACTTTTCAGTTTTTTTTAAAGACCCAGGGATGAGTGTACTATTTAAATATTTACCTCTATTAACATAACTAATGAAGG